GGGCGGAGCGGGGCAACGCCGCGGGGCCCACGGCGCAGTTCACGCCCCCGGAGCCGGGGGCGGCAGGTGCGGCCGCGCCGCCCGGGAGGTTGTTGTTGAGCTCGTTGGCCGCGGCGGCGGCCGAGGTGCCCAAAGCCCCCGCCGGGGGCTTCCCGCTCGCGTCACTGCTGCCCCCGCCCGGGGCGGCCGGGCCCGGGGGGTTCTGCTTGGCGCGCATCTTCTCGCGCTTCGCCTTCCACTCCTCCAGGAAGTCGGTGGTGCTGCCGCCGCTGCCGCCGGTCCGGTAGCCACCGGTCGCCATATTCCCAGCGGGGCCGGCCGGGCTCTCACCTCAGGCCGCCCGGCCCGGCTCCGGCCGCCGCCGCCTCTGCCCTCCCGCGGCCCGGAGGATGCGAGGGAACGACCCCCGGGCGCGGGGGCGGCCGCGGCTCCCCCAGCGGCCGGCGGGTCTGAGGGGAAACACAAAAGGGGGCGGGGAAGGGAAGCGTTAAGGTCCTCGCCTGGCCTGAGGGGCTGCCCCCGCGACCCGTCTCGGAGCCCCCCGCCCCCGCACAGCGCGGCGACCAGTCCCCGGCGGCAAGTGGCTGCAGAGTCCCCACCCTGCAAAGTTTCTCCGACGCACCTACACGGCGGGCCCGGCGATCGCCGCCCCTCGAGGGGAGGAGAAAGGCACTGTCCCCACCCCCGGCCCGCCCGCCCCATCCCCACCGGGGTCTGCGCCTGCGGCGGTAAGGGGACCGGGGCCAGACCCCGCCACCTGTCGGCTCGCCGCCTCTCCTGCCCCTCGCTGCGGCCACCGTCGGCCCAAGGTCCCCGCCACCAACACCTTCAAGCCTGGGCGAGGCGCGAAGCCCCTGGGCGGCTCGCAGAGGAGGCTGGACGCGCAAACACACCAGTTGTCCAGCCGCTTCGGGAGGACGGGCGCGCGGGTCGAGCGCGGGCAGCCCCTTACCTGGGGGGAGTTTGGGGGGGACGAGGCGCGGGTCTGGGAGTCGGCGCCCAGGTGAGCCGACGCGGCGGCGCGGAAGGAGCTGCGGCAAACTCGCGGCCGGAGCTCGCGACTCTCCCCGGCCAGGAGGGAGGGAAAGAGGGAGGGAGCGAGGGGCGGGAGGGGAGCCGAGCGGCGCCGAAGCGCGGGCGGAAAGGGCCGAGACGGCGCGCGAGGGGCGCCGCCCCCAGGGAGGGGCGGGGGGGGGGGTGCGTGCCCGCCGACGCCCCGCCCCCGTCGCTCAGGTGCGCGCCGCCTTGTCCAGCCCGCCGCTGCGGCCCGCCCCGCGCCCGCCTGTCCGACCGCACATTCCTGGGCTCGCGGCCCCGCGGCGGCTCCGACTCCGGGCGGAACGGCCCTCCACGCCCTTCACCCCGGTCCTCTTCTCCGCCTCCCCGTCTCCCACCACTCTTCCTTTTAAGTACAAGACATATTCTTCGAGGGAAAATCTCGAAGGCTGCTGGCCGAGGGGGAATAATGCAGTCAACTTGTGATGATTCAGGCCTGACTAGCCAGGATGGGAAAAGAGTCGCGCGTCACTTTTCCTGGTCGCTGCCCGCTTTTCAGATGTACCAGGGTGGCAGGCAGAAGAGCAGTAAAAAAAAAAAAAAAGAAACAAACCCAAACACTTCCTTCTGAGAAAAGTCTGTGGTCTCTGGGTGAAAGGGTCGGCTAAAAGAAGGAGGGGCTTACATTATCAGTGAATTATCAATTATCTTAGGCTTGCAGGAGAAAACTAAAAACTCATTTAGCCAGTGTATTGCATTGGCATCCCATTCCTATTTGGAATTCTCCTTTTAGCCCTGTCTCTACACCTCTTTACAGAGCGTGAATTTAGCAGCAAAGCTCCCTACCCAGTTATGAAAGCTGCGTTGATGCTGATTTCATGTGGGTTGGTGCCGTGATTGACTCTTACTTCTCTGTTCTCTTAACATACCAGGCAGTGTATCTTATCCTCAGATGCAAGTCATTTAACATTTCTGGATCAGGGCTGCGTGGACTGCCACTGTCCCACACCTGAAGGGACAGACCTCACTACATACAAGTGGTGTCAGGGCACATCATTGTCCTGGGCCACAAATGCCAGGTCACCATTTTGTAAAAAAAAAAAAAAAAAAAAAAGTAGGCGAGCCCTGAGTCACACTCTTACCTAACATAAATCTTTATTCCTACTTAGTATTCCTGTTTTGCCCAGGTGGCACATGGTGGGTGGGCAATCAGTGCGTGCCTGCCACAAAAATAAGATCGGGAGACAGTGATTCACATGCTATTTATTTCTCAGAGGGAAAGTCACAGAGTTCGGGTCTTTGGTCTGGCTTTTGGGGTGAAACGTGCATAACAGTGAGAGGGCTCTGGAAAAAAATCCTTAGAAAATCAAAGGCCTTTCTTGGGAATTGGTTTAAAAGGCTAAGCCTAGCTGGTAACAACCTGGGTTTGCCACCTGAAATCCCTCCTTTACAGAGTCACTACAGTATTTTGTTTTCTGGGTTTTAAGGGGGTAGAAGGAGAGTTGGGCATTAAGCAGACTCACATTAATATACTTTGTAACTTACCAAAGGATTTTCACCTGGAAGGGCTGCTGGATATAGCAGAAAGAGGATACAGTGTGCCTGAACATAAATACATAAGTAGCTGAGAGAGCTTGGATGTGGTGTTTGAATTCTCTGAAACTCCACTTTCTTTACTACAAAATCAGCAACAACAGCATAAATTTTTAAGCTGTTATAAGACTTGACACTATGTACTTGGTTCAAGGAAGGCATTCAGTAAATATAATCCCTTTTATTAGTAAACGGATATCAAGTAGTCTTTGGTCTCTAAAAAGTGGGGGGGGTGGGGTTGAGGGGAGAAGGCAGGCAGAAAGATTACATACTGAATACACAATATTCATTTGAAAATGAGACACAGAATGAACTAGAATAACACTTACCACTGCACTCTCAGACTAGTTCTCTTAGTATTAATAGGCTCTGAGTCAGGAATTGGATACTCCTGACTCCTGTGGCTTTGGGCAAGTTGCTTAACTTTTGTGCCTCTGTTTACTTACATATAAAATGGGGATAATGATACTTCCTACATTGTGAGAGTGTTGTGAAGGTATCTGAGATCCTTGGATAAAAGGTAGTATATGAGTACCAGAGTAGTTATTATTAGTCTATAAAGTGCCCTAGGAACCATGGATGAAAGAGATTATTGAGGTACAAAGCACTGTGTATTATTATTGTTATCATTTATTATACCTTTTGTCTTTACCTTACCATTCTCACTTCCAAAGATGTATTTTACAGCCAGACTGCTTCCAGCCTTGCATCAAGATATTTAGCTGAGTCAGTCCTAAATTGCAAAATGTTTGCATATCATCAATCTTTATGTTTAGCATTCTGATGAAATAATCCTCAAAGACTCAGAGCTTGGTTTCTCAACCATGGCACTATTGACATTTAAGAATAGATAATTCTTTAGTGTTTGTCCTGTCCATTGTAGGATGTTTAGCAGCATTCTTGGCTTGCATCCACTAGATACCAATAGTTGGCCCTCACCCCCAGTTGTGACTTTGCCAAATGTTCCCTGCAGGGAAAAATCTTCCCCAGTTGAGAATTTCTGAGCTGGCTCTAAAACAACTAATTTTGGTGATACACTTGCCCTTAAATAATAAAGGGAAATATGATGATACTAACAAATAAAAAAATTCATATTAATAGGTCAGAATGAAACTTACTCTAAATGTTAAGTCTTACTTAATGTTTTTCAGAGAGTGGATTAGCTATGGTGTGAAATAGCCTTTTTCTATGTGTTGAAATAATTAATAGAATATTGAGCCGTTATGCCTTCAAAGCAAATATTTCTGGAACATATGCAATTCATCCTCTAAAATCAAAATATTACATGTACATAGTCTTTAAATGTAAATACTTTAGTTCTGTAAGAATTATAACAAAAGGCAGCAATCCCCTACTTAGCCTTCCCACTACCAAAATCCTACCCAAAATTTTGAATTCTTATATCTTTCTGCAATTATGAATCTTCATATTTATTTTTAATGTGTTTATTTTGAGAGAGAGAGAGAGAGAGAGAGAGAGAGAGAGAGTGTGTGTGTGTGTGTGTGTGTGTGTATGGGGGGGGGGGGGCTGCGAGAGAGAGGGAGAGAGAATCCCAAGCAGGCTCAGCAACGTCAGCACAGAACCCAAAGCTGGGCTTGATCCCACAAACTATGAGATCATTACTGGAGCTGAAATTAAGAGTCAAACTCTCAACCCAGGTGCCCTTCATATATATTTTAATGCCTTTATCAGTTATTCTACTTCTTGATTTCTTCATTTTTAGACACACTTTGTTGACTTTCTAATACAGAAAAAGAAAATTTAACCCTCTTATACTAACTACACATACACTTTTCTTACTCCTAAACTCCTGATTTATATCATAATTTTATTAAACATTTAATGTTTATTAATGCTATAAACATTAAATGTCTATTTAATAAAATAAATGTTAATGCACCACTGAGGCATGCAGTGTACTAAGATTGCATTTTTTTAGAACTTTTTTCTTGTTACACAATTGTTTCTCTTTCCTTTTCAGTTAAAACTTGGCGTTTTAAAAATCATTGCATCATACTCTATATACCAGTCACAAATTGAAACCTAAACTTTCCTCCTCTTGGTGCAATTAGTCACATCAGGTACTCTATCAGTTCTATTTCTCTTTTTCTTGGTGATGTCTCTCCTGGAGATCTCCATCCCCTGCTGTGTGGTCTGGACTGATTTTAAGACTCATGGCTCTGTGATCATCCTAGGATTATGTTTCCCTAACATCCTGGGGATCATTTCCTATGCAGATCTCTTGTTTCCTGAATCCCATATTGTCCTCTTTCCTTTTTTTCCCATCATTTTAGTAGAGTACATCTTCAATATATTCTGGAGACAGGATTACACATTCTTGGAGGCCTTGTGTGTTGGAAACATTTTTAATTTATCTTTCCACTCAATTGTTTGGTGGGACATGGAATTCTAGGTTAGAGATCACTTTCCTTCATAATTTTAAAGGTATCACTGTATTGTCTTCTAGTTTCCAGAGTTGATGTTGAAAAAACCAATGGCATTCTGATTCCTTTATTTTCTCTCTGGAAGTTTCTGGAACTTCTTACCCAGTTCTTCTGGAATATCTTGAAGATTTGCCCTGATTTAGTCTTTTTTCATTATTATATAAGGGACTCAATGGGCCCTTTCAGTCTGCCATCTGCCCTATAGTTGGGAAATTTCTTTGTCCCATACCTTTGGTGATTCTTCAGTTTTCTCTGTTCTCTCTAGAGCTTCTATTAAATAGATGTTGGACTTCTAAACATTCTCTAATAAGTGTTTAATCTTTTTCTCTCCCAGTTTCCATCTCTTTGGCATGTTATTCTACTTTCCGTAAAATTTCCTCCACCTTGTAGGTCAACCTTTCTACGAATTTTGTTTCTGCCTCTTTTTTTTTTTTTTTTTTTTTTGTAAGATATGTTTCTTATTCTCTAAATGTTCTTTTTCCATATCAGCCTATTCTTGGGTCATAGATTCACCATCTTTTCTCTCCCTAAGGAAATCTCTTTAACT